AAACTAAACTGACGCACTTGAAATCGGCAGATAATGCTGACAGCCGCATCATAGAGCACGCTCATACTTATCATCGGCCCTATTGTTAACTTTGTTTCTCTTGCGTGCTCGTTGGGATGTGTGCTTCGTTTCAACGTGTCAGTGTGACCGTTGAAGTTTATTTTTCAGGTAAATATGCATTTCATGGTAAATACATTTAGCCGTATGCACACCGTGTTTTACTCTCGAAGGCTCGTGTGGGTATTGCGTAGGCCTTAACGCACGCCCTGGCTATGTGCCCTGGAGGCCGTGGTACTGCCCGTGAAAAGCTAACCGGGGCGGGTAGGTATTGCGTCGGCCTGAACGTACGCTGTGGGTTTGCGCCTAATAAACAGTGTTGGTCCGCGGTAGTGATCTGCCAAGCGATGCATATTGCATTTGTTCTCTAAGCATTTTTAAAAGGATTTCAACATCATTCTACATCACTCAAAATTACGTAAGTTGTTCAGTGCATTAGCGAGGAACATTACTCACAAAGAGAAGACAGTAGAATTAGCCTTATTCCTCGGAGAAAAACCAGGACAATGGAGATATAGCTCGGTTGATATTTCGACAGCATGCTTCAGCGAAACAATAGGAGAAGCAACCTTCAAATAGGGATAGCAATAGCAATTCAAAAACAAGAGCAGTAGCAAACTTCTGCTATTGTTTCGATAGAGGCATGTTGCCGAAATATCAACCGAACTATCCCTCCATTGTCCTGGTTTTTCTGCAAGGAATAAGGCCAAACCATTGTCTTATCAACATCATCCAACGCTGCGGATTAATTGCTTGTTATATTTGTATATGTTTGCGGTTCCTCTCTGAGTAATGAATAGCGCATGAGTTATAATCTGCCATTGAAGCATGTGGTAATCAATATATATATATATATATATATATATATATATATATATATATATATATATATATATATATATACTACCTCAACTTCAGATCGACGCAATACTTAACCGCCTGCAAGTCTACAACACCGTTTGAGAGCGGTTATATGTGTGTACCATAAAGCGAGTGTTTCCCTAGAAAAATTAAATATGATTGTTGCACATCATGTAGCCGAAAAAACTGCAGACATGGGACATGGGAATCAATAAAAATGTGTTTTGTCTCAAAGGGGAGGAACAATGGTTACATGTGTTTGTATCCACCCCTTTCCGAGAACGTTTAGCACGAATCGTTCGAGTACAAAATAAGTTTGGGCAACCGCACCTTTCTGACACGTTTCTCCGCCCACGTATCCGCTGCTAGCACAAGTCAAGAAATCACTTCCAACGAAATGTTTTTGTAACCTTACCAAATATTACGACGCCTGCAATGAAATTCAAATTGCACTGCATGACCAAACTCTGTTGCGCGTAAAAACTTTTGCAGATGGGTCCAAATGATTGAGGAACAGCTAACTTTACTCTGAAATACCAGGACCGGTGATAAGCATAGACGAGCTATTTGCGATTCGACCGCCAGCATTATCTGTCCGTTTCAAACGGGTCAGTATAGTTTCCTCCGGTGCAATCATTCGAGGACACCATTTTTAAACTGTTTCGAGGTAGATGAAATATATATATATATATATATATATATATATATATATAAATCACGCAGCAAAAAAGCCTTTCCAGACAGGTATGCCATATACGTATGTATGTAAATGCATTTCGCTACTCGATGAACATAGGGCTACGTCATGCATTATACTTGTGTCAAAGAGTAGTCTAGTGCCGACCTAAAATGTCATCGTGGCTCAAGTGAATTGTATTCCGGATAGAAGCGTCCCCGTTAACAAACGGTGACAGCATTGTGCTCTTGTGAAATTTCTCGGAAGTGCCTTTTCTTGCTGTGTCATGCACTTTATGTTTTTGTTGCATTGAGTATCAGCAATGATGCCTCGTGACGAGATAATTGTTATGTTGTTGATAACTGCAACCATGGCAAGCGATATATTCGCTTCCCTCCATATGTGCTTGCTCCTTGCTTGAGCTCACCTAGATCCACCTCCAAAGACGAACCCATGCGCCAAGTCGTGATCTGTTCGCGGTCTGGTCCGGTGCTTGGGTTGACGCTTTTGAAACTTCTCCCGCCCGGCCAATTCAAACATCTTCATACACGTGCCAGAATGCACGCGCTTGACGACAGGCGAGTTGGCGCGAACTATCTTCTGATCGGCCAGTCATCGATCGCCGTAACAACATGGGCCAGATTGCGGTGAACCTGGCACAGTGTCCTAGAATTGTTGACTTTGGGTGTAAAGCAACACCCTATGAAGAGGAATTTTTCACTCCTTTTCCCCATATTCTATGTGAGTTTTTCATTCCCGCCTGACATTGTCTAATCGCACATGCCAAACCCCTATGTCCCTTTCTGAGGTTTTCAGATGTCATTCAAAACCGAGCTCACTTGAAACCACCAAGCATAAACGAGGCTGGACACCTATGGCTGGACACCTA